AAAGAAATTGTATGAGAATATAGTGTAATGACTAAATAATCAAATCATTTCATCATCACATCCTATCTAAATCCACCGCTGAACATAGGCCTCTTCCATAGATTGCCTCATATTTGCCATAGTTTGTCCTTGTGAAATTTATGTATGTAAACTGCCACCACGATACAGGAGAAAATCTTAGTGTGGAAGTGACGATTTTCGAAAAAAAAACAGGTTAAACAAGAGTTGCCATACATATTATTAAATAACAAAAATCTAAATTAAATTAAAATCGACCAAGTTGAAATTTTTGAATATACTATATATGAGATAACAATGGTATAATATCAATGCAAATTCAAATTATATGATATTATTATTTATTTATTGTACCCGTATGTGTATAGCCAACTTTCGCAGTGACTTGAAACTGTAGAAAATTCGTCACAGAATGACGTTGTTTCCTTATTAAAAACTGCAAGGTTAAGGTCCATAGCCGGCGTTCACCTTGTCGTTTTCCATTATTGAAAATCTAAATATATTCAAATGTTTTTTTTTTCTTAATATAGAATAAGGGTGACAAACGAGCACACAGACCACCTGATGGTAAGTGGATGCTGGGGCCCTTAGACATCTACATTTATCCTCGATTAAGAACCAAAATGCAGATGTGTTGTCACCCCTAAAGACTAAGATGAAATATCTAGTTTCCAGTAAAAAACTACAACATTTAGCTGCTATTTTACACTGGTATTCTGTGAGACCGTGGTCTTACCCCATTCGAGACGATCCATTCGTGCTACAACCTACAACCATAATATTGCTGTTTACCACATTATGTACAATGATTAGAGATGTTTTCACGGAATGATGCAACCAGTTACATTTCTTTTAAGAAACCTGTTGCGACAATAGGTATTTTCTGCAACAGGTTTCTAATAACCGCGTAATCTTAACAAGTTGTTTAAGTACTATTAGTTATTGTTTTGTATAGTCGTTACTTGGTAGCGAATTATTTCGTTTTGAAACTAAAGCAATGAAAAATATAATTTATTGGCGGGCAATAAAACTTAAATAAACAATTGTTTACAGTATGATGTACCAACATTTTAATTTTTATTGACATTTGAAATAATCAATTGACAAACCTTTTTTTGTTGAAAATTAAGTCACTTTTTTACTAATCGATGCCGAAAAATAATATAACTAAAACATAAACAAAATTGTCAAAGTATTGGTAGCATGTTAACGCATTTTGCAATTGGCGCAACTTATTGTGCAATAACGTTTAGTTCTTGAACGTTACTGAAAAAACCTAATGCGCGATTCGTCGCAACAGGTTACGTTTTTATTTTCGACACAACCTGTTGCTGTAACAGGTTGCGAAAAAAACGACTCATCTCTAACAATGATAGTACAGAAATTGACGTCAAAATGCTTCGGAAGTTCTATCAAGGGTGTACGTTTTAATTAAGGTTAAATAAAAGGTTGCGAGTTGTCAGTGACCGTGAAATAACTAAGGGACGGAAGTTAATCACACGTGTTGTACGCTTGTGCAGGAAACAGTGAATTCTATGAGGCGATTTTAAAACACACCGGGAAATAGAAGTATGTATAAGTATGAGATACAATTCATAATGTTTATAAAATCTCACGTCCGTCACACGTATTGGTAGGCAGATACTACGGAGTTCCATTTGGCACGATCCTGACACACTTCTCTCAGTTCTTTCACACCCTTAAAGGTATCTACGAATATACCTATATGCTCATCAGTTAAGTGTGCTCGTAATTCGTATATCACCAACTAGCTGTGCCCCGCGGTTTCACCCGGGTCATCACGTGTCCGAGGTGCGCGACATGACCTAGTTCAAGCATTTTATAACGGCTAGGGTTTAAGCGCCGTTCGCGCGCCCAGCCAAGTATTGAATTATTTTAATTTTACATTATCTCTTAAACTATGCGTCCAAATAACATGGTAGAAAGAAAAAAGTTTATCTTCATAATATTGTCTTGATGATGAAGTAACTTTCGTTCGTAAGGATAAATAGGCCATGCCTAATAATAGGTCTATATTTTTCTAGAACATTGTATTTACGTATCCCTAACGATAACACCAGCGTACGCGGATAAATCATTTCGGGAGTGCTTTTTCTTCTGACTTGCTTAACAAATATCCATATTTAAGGCTAGCTGAGTAATATAGCTTAATGCTAGATAGCTTATACTATTCCACATGAATCTGGCTGTAATATACAAAAAGAATTTTTTCAAATCGGACCGGTAGTTCCAGAGATTAGCGCGTTTAAACAAACAAAAAAACCAAAAAAACTCTTCCGCTTTATTACATTAAGTATAGATTTGGTCGATAACAATACTTCTAGGACCCAACCTAACTTTTACTACGACATATTAAGGTATGGACTAACAGCATTAAGTATTATTTTATTTTTTCTTTTTTGACACATTTTGACTTCTTATAGTAGTCGATTGCCCAATTCACTTTTTGTCCCGCATTCCTCGTTCTATATCCTTGTCATGTCTACCATCCCTACTATGAAATATAAAATATAATCAGGCAGATTGTGCGTGATAAATACAGTAATAACTAATAACAATAGGTATTACTGTATATTACCTAGCGGCGATCTTCCGATATTCCCTTTACGGCATCGATATTCGATACACATAAGTGAATGCTGTGGTCAATAGACATCTTCATCTATCCTCTATTAAGAATCAAAGTGCAGATACATTGTCATCCCAGAGGAATAGGATGGATTACCTCGTTCCAGTAAAAAGGGTCTTCGGTTCTCTACCTCACCATACGCAACACAGAAGCATTAAACTATTATTTTAGGCTTAGCACGCACTGCTATTAAACGCACGCGTTTAACCGCACGTCTGAAACCGTAAACAAATATAGCACATAGCATTTTATACAAGCGCACGCATTAGCGACTTTTTTCAGTGACTGATTTTAAAAACGTAACTTGCTACATTTGGATCGCGGTTTGTAAGCGCGCGATTTTTATGTGTCCCATAGTAATAGTATGGCGACGCACGCACAGGGGTTAACCGCGTTCGGTTTGTTATTCAATTTCAATCTCGACAGTCGTTATTTGCGGTGCTAATTTTAAAGAGGTTATGTCATGTCGTCCGACTCAGAAACAACGTTTTTACACTACGATAATGTGTCTAAAACATTCTGTAGTAATTAAAACATTATCGGGATCTTGTCGCACGTCGTTATACATTTTGCAAAAGTATCCTTTCAGATGACTTTGATCTGTTAGTGGATGTACCCAGTACTTATGGCGGCGGCGTTGTTTACGTTTTCTATTTCTCAATTTAAAAACCAAAGCCACAACACACGCTACTCGCCAGAAATTCATAGTAGTACCGAAATAAAATTAAGCAAAACGCCAGGGCAGTGCGTGGTTGTATGCGATTTTGCGTTTTCAGCTATTCCTAAACCACTCGCGTTTAATCGCAGTGCGTGCTAAGCCTTACGTAGGTATTCATTCTATGGCAAAAGCATGGTTCTTCCCCGGTCGAGTCGGACCCATTCATGCTACATACAATATAACTACAGCGTGGCTCTACCACGTATACAACCACGTGATGTATATGTATCAGTAAAAAGAAATCTTTCTTTTCTTTTATAAATACAGTGATGATCTTATGAACGTCGCGAGGCCAAATTCCGATGGTTTTTATTTATATGAGAGGGGGCAAACGAGCATGCGGCTCACCTGATGGTAAGTGACTACCGCCGTCCATGAACAACTGCAACACCAGGGGAATCGTAGATGCATTGCCGACCTTTTAAAAAGGAGTATGCTCTTTTCTTGAAGGTCCCTAAGCCGTATCGGTCCGGAAAAATCGCTGGTGGTAATCGATTCCTCAAGAAAATTGTGCGAGGAAGAAATTCTAAATCGCACAGTGGTGGACCGCCAATCATCCAGATGGTATGGATGGTATCGCGAGTTTTGTCGCGATGTGGAATTAGTCCGAACAATTCCTCAGAGCGCTCCCCGTGATAGACGCGATAAAACACGCAAAGAGATGCAGTGCCAGAGAGTCAAGCAGATCGGAAAGAACACGGTCGTCGACGATTCGAAGCGCTCAGCGCTGGATGCGGTCAAGTGGAAGGAGCTGGCACTGGGGAGCCCCTGCCCAGAGATGGGAACAGTATTCTATGTGAAGCCGAACCTGCGCCTTGGTTTCAAATGTCATCAAAAGCAAAAATCAAATTACCAATTTTTTCTTCCCAATTTTTAATATGAGCATGAAGTATGGTTTACCGCCTAATAATTTAAAACGTCAACTTTTTTTTAATAAGACCGAAGTGACAAAGGAATTTACAGTCCACCTAATAGTTGGTGACTACTGCAGTCTATGGAAACCTTCAGTCAACTTCAAACAAAGAATGCTACAGACATGGGTCGGCTCGACCGGGGAGGGACTGCGCTCTCACAGAATACTAGCGTAAAATAGCAGCTAAATGCTGCTGTGTTTCGTATGGTGAGTGTAGAGAACAGGAGACCCCTTAGTCCTCACGACTGACAACGCATATGCATTTTAATTCGCAAACGAAGACGTCTATGGGACACAGCAACCACTTACCATCAGGTGGACTGTGTGCTCGTTTGTCACCCTTGTTCTATAAAAAAAAAAGATGCGTTGTCACCTCTGAGGACTAAGATATAATGGCTTACAGCCTATAATTATATTGGCTGCCCATACCTACCTTTCGCACCGAAACAGAGCAGTGTAGGCACTGCTATTATGCAGCGGAAATAGGTAAAAGCGCGGTACCTAACGAGAAAAGGAATCCTACCATCTAGACAAAATTATCGCGACTTTTAATTCAACTTAACTTGTATCAGTTAAATTCAAATGTTATTTAACAGCGCACAACAGAAAATGTAATTTCGTGAAATAATGTTAATACACAAATGTTACTTAAAAAATAGTAAACATATTAAAAAAAAACGTTTAGGAAAAACCAATCTTACCCAAAGCATCAGACAGCACATGAAGGAACACGCCCTTCATGTTCAAGTGCCCGGGATCGCTGGCGACCCTGCCTGCTGTCTGATTGTTGTTGTTGGCCATTTTGTCGGTTCTGGGCGTTACCATTTCGTCGGTCTCCTCGTTATCGGTCGCCTGATGACCCAGCGCCAAATCCGCATTGCTGTTCACGATCTCCGTCAGATGGCGCACATTGGACGGGGGCGGTACACCGCCGTGCGTGTGCCCGTGGCTGCTGCCGTGTTCTGGAACAATGGGTATTGTTAAGCAACAATCGATTTATTTCGACGCATTTCGGTTGATTAAACTAGGTCAAGAGCGTTGTTTAATTTAACGAGGCGTTAACTAGCTGAAATCAAAAACGAGAAACAGGCCACAAAGCCTCAGCCATACGTGGTATATTTTATACGTGGTAGAGCCATGCTGCAGCTATATTAGTAGTATAGTTGTAGCACGAATGGGTCGGCTCGACCGGGGAGGGACCACGCTCTCACAGAATACTGTGTTGAGTTGCTATGGTGAGTGTAGAGAACCGGATACCATTTTTACTGGAAAGGAGGCATTCCATCTTAGTCCTCACGAGTGACAACGCATCTGCATTTTGATTCGCAAACGAGGATAAATGTAGATGTCTATGGGCTTCAGCAACCACTTACCATCAGGTGAACTGTGTACTCGTGTGTCACCCTATCCTATAAAAAAAGCCATCCGCATTCATCCCCTCCCTGACGCATGCTTTATATGCTACATTGAGGAGTCGCCCTAAGCTGTGCATGCCAGTAGGAAGCTGTCAATCGAAAACATTAATTCTAGATCAGTCTTCGTATCTTGGAGCTAAATATACAACTTTCTCTTTTTCTTTGCTTGACAAGCTTGTGATCCGCCTAAATAAGGACGGTGTATTTGCCCAACACTGGTATAAAAGTATGCTATGTACTATTCAATACTTTATAATAATAATAATATTTACTGAAGTTATAAAGATATCAGCGTCGTCCTGAGCCCTGACAAGGACAACCTGTCTGTCAAGAGGCAGTTCCCTGTAATACTGTAATGACCTAATACTGTTGCGCGCCACAATTAATGCATGGTACATGGCGACACTAGTTACCACTAGCGCCTTCTAGTATCGAGTAGCAGAACTAGGAGAGTCAAGATCCTTCTAGAAATTTCCATGGAAGAACTTTCTACAACTATCGACACCTAGTCAGTCGGGACCGGTATGTACTCGAACATTCTAGATGTTTCTACAGTTGAAGGTTTTTAATTAATTGTTTCGTGCCCTAAGCTCATAACAATACGAAATTCGATATTTTTTCATTTAAGTTTTTCTATAATACCATTGAGCTATTATGTACTACGTACTAGAGGCGACTGCATTATGTTACGCTGTTCCATTCAATTGCGGTGATATTGCCGCACTATACTCAGTCGCTCGCTAGGCGCTAGTAAGTTAACACATCATGCTGTGTTGATTATATAAAAAAAATTCTTGATAAAATACGGCATGGTGTGTTTTATAAATGCACAAATAATTCAAGAAATGTTAGCAAATACCAAGGAATAACTTTTCATCGGTAAGTAAAATACTTAATAAAAAAGTAGATATTATAGATTAATAATTAATGAAACAAATTATTTAAAAGACGCCATCTCGGGTCATGACATATAGATTATGAAATTAATTTGTTCAGATGCGACGTTTCTGTAGGTACTTAAGTCTGAGAATAATTATGCATAATATAATATGTTGTTTTTGTGTAGAAACAAATGGAATTATTCATAATTAGGCTAAATTTCTGATATTTAAATTTGCTGATTATTCTTTTATTTTATTTTTAGGTTTCCACGTCCAAACTATGAAAACAGGGAAAAATGTACTAAATTCATCAATTTTTTAACTCTCACGTGCCCAGTATTTATGAACGACTTTTATTCTAATCTAAATAAATATATTTGTAAATTATATGTTATATCAATAAGTTTTGTTACAAATACATTAAGTATGTTTTTTTTTTTAATTTTACATAGTTACCTTTTAAAATATTCATATAAAAATATCATTTAAATGTAATTCAGAAATCAGCAGTACCATGCGATAACGTAATTATATTATTATATAACATTGCTGGGATTTTAGTTTTATTTTCTGATTAGACGACGAACAAATTTTTTGTAATGTTCAGTATATTTACGGGACTTAAGACAGGTGGAACCCTCGGCGCGCGCGTCACACTAGTATATGGCGGTTTTTTAATACTGTAACGCTAGAAGTTTTACAGGCTTCCCAAGTAATTAGTATCTTTTTTTTCTGCCAACAAAATGTGGTGTACAGGAAGTATCAGAACCGTTGTCTGAATCAATAAGCAGTTCAAATTCAATTTTTGATAGTCCGAGCAAAATTGTACTTACAAATAAATTACGCAAGTGATGTCTCCTAAGCCTAATTTGAGTGATGTATACGAAACCTAAGTTTTTAAATATAGTCTACCTTAGTAACGGAATCAATAATTCTAGGTCATAATTTTAAACATTTTAAACATTACAACAATTCGGTCTCAAACTAAATGCTGAGATTAATTTAATGGCTAAAGCAGAAGTTGTGGAGTTACATGAATCTATAATGAAAAAGAATAAACAGAGCACGCATTATTTATTAATACACTGCACGCACCTTAACGTAAATTCGCATTGATTTTACACTATCATTCACCAGCTGCGTATAAATACGTTAGAGAATTCTAGAAAAGTAATAATAATGATCTTTGACATATTTACTTTTTAAAGTATTAAATAAAATACGAGTATAATTAAAATGTAATTCTGTCATAATATTATGTTATATTATATTAAATTAACACATAAATGCAAAATAAATAACAAAAAAATTGTACTTGATATAATTTACAATACAATCTAAATAAACAATTACTTATTACATACTGATCATTCTACCTACGTATAATCTATGATGACAAAAACCGCGCATGCGCGACTCTACTATTTACCGCGCATGCACGAAGACATAGAGTAGCGCACATTTTTTGTTTGGAATAGCTTCTCTAGTCTCTAGTACGTAGTACATTATAACTCAATGTATAATACATTATTTTACGTCAGTGAAATTGCATGAGAATTACTAGTACGTGGCCTAACAGGATCAAAAATTAACATTGCATAAAAATAAAGTAAAAAGAGAACGGCCGTAAAGTAAAATAATATTCCAACTCAAGCAATACCTAGAAAGAAGAATCAACCGCATCGATTGCCTCATGCGAGTGTACCGAGAACTGCGAACGTGTTTAGCGTCTCCTCAGTTTGCAGTTTTGCGATGTTTGATTTCTTCACTACGTTCGCGTCACAAACTAACAAATCAAACACTTCACAACATATTCTGACCGGAGTACAATACTACTTTTCTTTAAGAGGTTATTCAAAGTTCTTAGTTTTTCTTCGTTATTATTACTTACCTGATTGTAATGCTAAGCAGTTATGTACAGTTTTATGTTAGGTGCTCCGACCGAATTTCAGTCACAGCGGCCAGTCTTAACGAAGACTAGCCATCGGTACAGGACAGAATTATAGTGCCCAAGTGTTTTTTTATGGGATAGGGTGACAAACGAGCACAGAGTCCACCTGATGGTAAGTGGTTGCTGCGGCCCATAGACATCTACATTTATCCTCAACAAAGAATCAAAATTCAGATGCGTCGTCACCCGTGAGGACTAAGATGGAATGCCTCTTTTCCAGTAAAATGGATCTCCGGTTCTCTACACTCACCATACGAAACACAGCAGTGTCAAGCTGCTATTTTACGCTGGTATTCTGTGAGAGCGTGGTACTTCCCCTGTCGAGCCGATCCATTCGTGCTACAACTATACTACTAATATAGCTGCACTATGGCTCTACCACGTTGATAAAGTGTATGCGCAAGCACAGGTGTACTCTCTATTCCCTCACTCTCATAGTCTGAATAATAAACCGACACGACCGGAGAGAGATCAGACGCAGGACCAACGGCTTTATGTGCTTTCCGAGAGACGGGGGTGAGACACCGCCAACTTCCTGACTCCGGACAGCTACTGAGAATTTCTTGACGGAAAAGCTCGATATCTGTTTCTTGGCCTAACCCGGGGATTCGAACCAGGGACCTTATGACCAGCAGTCGCATTTACTACCACTAGACCAACGAGGCAGTCATGAGATTTAGTCATGTCTTAGGTTCTGCTATCGCTGCAATCTTCTGCGTAAACAATATAAATAATTAACCTCCTTTACGAATAACTAATCGAGCGAGACGAAACATTGTCAGTTTCCATTAATTGAAGCCAATGCTTGAAAACGTGGCGAATTTCATGTTATTATCGCTTGCTAATCGATATTCGGCATCGTAGACTTTTTATTATGGAACACATAATACAATACACTTATTTGCAAACAAAACGGGCGGTTTTGATTTTTCCTGCCTGAATATAAAATACAATATGAAAAACATATAATCATTTAAAAATATTATTATTGGACGGTTATAAATGTGCCGTTGTGTTTAAAAAAAACCGGCCAAGTGCAAGGCAGACTCGCGCATGAAGGGTTCCGTACCATCGTAGCACACGTTTCTAGTAGAGGAGCCCCATTAATTTTCGGACGACGGACGGACGGACAGCGGAGGCTTAGTAACAGAGCTCCGTTGGTTACCAAACGGGTACGGGTAATTCAAGTTTTTGTATGAGGCTGGTTTTTAAAGAAAACAACTTTTTACTACATTTTGTGGTGCGAACTCCTGAAAGTTAATATGGACTCTTAAATAACTTTTATTGAATTTTCTCATTTCCTTGACATTTTGAAGTATTGTTATTGATGTTTAGCGGTATCGAAAATGTTAGATAAAGTGATAAAAGTCAGCAAAATTATTGCGCTGCTTGAGGAGGATTGCAGCCATTGCTTCGGCAGCGCTATCAAGATACCGGTTCCGTCCAGAGAAGGCCTGGTTTTGGAAAAAAGCTGTATATCGAACCACAGGATGATCGTTTTCTGGTGAATCAAGTGTTAAGGAATCGCAAATATTCGTATGTGGATCTCAATAACAACCTCGAAGATGTAAGAAATGTGCAAAATAGTCTATGGACGGTCAGGAGGTTTGACGGCTCCGTGGCATAGTGGCATAGCAATGAGTTGCAACGCTTGGGGGCCGTGGATTCAAATCCCGCATGGAACAAGTATTTGTATGGCCTACAAATAATTGTTC